GAGAGAGAGAGAGAGAGAGAGAGAGAGAGAGAGAGAGAGAGAGAGAGAGAGAGATATTACATTCGATGACACTGTAATAAAAAGGCGGACTGCTCAAAACTCGTATTTAGATATATCGGGACGATTTTAATAGAAAAATGCACGTACATGTGTATTCTCGTATGTCCATAGGCGTCTTAAATCCTTAAACTACGATATCTACAATGTTTTAATATCCAAAACAAGTAGTCGCCATTTAATATACATATATATCTACCTTATGAAAATTTTTCACAGATAAAAGATGGCTCGTGAATATGAGTGTGTGTAAAATATACATATCCTTTGTACAATGTACAATCATTGGAAAATATAATGTATAAAGTATTACTGACTGTATCCCAGAGTTATTTTAAGTACCTTATATCAAATTACAGATAGTGTTAGATTTGTTAACACAATCAGAACTGCAGTCTAAATATATATTTTCAGTTTATGTTACAGCTGTACATATATGCATCGCGAAACAAGTGCATAACTAATAAATATTATTTAATTAAACAATGTATGAAACAATTTTAATTGGGTATAAAGCATCTCGAACGTCTTACATAATTATGATGCGTACTTAAAAGATATTTTCATTACTCGATGGTAAATCGATTTATCTATGTTCGAATCATCAAACGACAAAATAAACAGAAATCAACGTTTCGAACGTTTCTCTTTCTTAGATTTTTTCTTATGTTTTGAGCTCTTATATTTATCTTTCTCTTTATGTTTATGTTTCTTCTTCGATTTTTTCATCTTGTCTCGTTCCACCCATTTTCCACCGAGTTTCGAATCCTCCATAGTTTTCGATACCACGACACTTCGAAATACTGGTTTGGACAATTGATTAGTATTATCAGCTTCTGTCGTTGTTGCAATACTGTCTTGTTTCAATAATCTTTGTGGCAGGACCGGACCATACATATCCGGCAGTATCGCAGTCTCTTTATCATTAGTTACATCGTTACGATCTACAAGATCGTTCTGCGATTCACTAATAATTGGCGAACTAGGTTCTGAAATGTTAGACGTCTTACTTTCGTCATTAACGTGTTTTGGTTGTGTCACCAAGCTGTCGAGATCTAATTTCGCAAAGATTCCTCGTGGCGGCGATGTATTACGTTGCACATTTATCTCCTTCGGATCTTTTCCAATCAAAATCGATTTGACAGCCTCATTGTCAACATTATCCTCCGTCTCGCTGTCGGAATCCTCGCTGCTGCTGAGAAAGATCGCCTTGAACAGATCCTTCTTTTCTTCCGACTGATCTTTAAGCGCAGATACCGGCTCAGGTGTTTTTTCTTTTTCTTTTATTTCTTGAATTGTTTCGTCTTTTAAATTATTTCCTGTATTTTGTTCGACATCTTTTGATGTCGCGGAAGAAATATTGTGAATACCTTTGCCGAAAACTTTTTCATAGGAAGCTTCGAAAATTCTAAATTTTTCAGAAATAGGTTCTAAAGGTTGGTAAATGTTAGATGGAATATTGTTGGAGTCAATGGGAATCATTTCGTTTACATTTTCTTCCGTTTTACTTGATGGCAAGGGAATGTCTTCCACTTGTGTCTTAACTGTATCCACGGCTTTCGTGAATTTTGATGAACTACACCAGTCCAAGGAATCAAAGACTGAGAATCTGGCTGATTTCCTATCCGTTGAGATCGGTGCGCACCCGACTTTCGGTTCGGGAATATTAAATCTTTTGCAAACGATACTCGTCGGCTTCCATTCACTCCGTTGTCGCGTAAGTTTGCCGAACATTCTCAATCTTACCGCTTCCTTTACGTCCTTTTCCGGATCCACTCTGTCCATCGTATCATTAGCATTATGTACAAACTTATTCGCCATATAATTATTCGATTGCTCCAGTTTTATGGCTTGCTCGAATTCTTCGCATTCTTGCTCTCTCTCCCAATTAGTCATAGAAAGTGGTTGAATACTTTCGAACTTATCCTTCTCGCCGTTCTTCGAGAAGATAAGATACTGCTCGAATCGTCTCTGTTTATCCGGATCAGATAGGAATAATTTTCCCGTTTCACCCTTATCTGAGAAATCGTTCTCCATCGATTTATCAGTGCTTGATTGTGCAGATAAAGATTCTTTAAAATCTTCCAATTTCTTTAAGTTATTCATATCGTCTTTGCTGGAACCAACAATACCACCTTTGACGAAGCTTTGTGCGTTTAATTTGTCCAGCCAAGAGTTGCTTGTTGTCTTCTGTTGTGTCTCCAATTTTCTTCTCTCTTCTGTTTGTTGTTTACCATGCAAATTCAAGGTTTTTGAAATAATATTAGAGGCAACGGATGTGCTCGATGATGCCTGTGGCTTTTTCGAACATTCATCAGGGTCTTCCAAGATTCGCGCTCTGTCTATGGCGTTCAATGGTTCCCTGCGTTTAGTTTCTACTGGGGTTGTAATCGGCGGATAAAACCTACTTTTCCTAATAGCGTGTACCGGTGCAAAATTTTTTGGCAATTCTGGAGGTTTGAAGACTTTCTTGCTCTCTAGTCTCTCTTTCGCGTGAGTAAAATTGTCCAAACAATCGGTTTGCGAACTACTCGGTTCATTCTGCGACCATCTTGTCTTTGCCTTCTGCTCGGGGCCCAAAGCAAAATCATAACGCGACATGTCTTCCTTCTCATATATATCCTCGTCATCAGCTTCGAAAGCACCAACTCCGAACGCCTGGCCATGAATCGATAATTTCTTGTTTTTATCTTGGACACAAAAAGCTGGACTGTCAAATAAATTGATGTGACTGGAAAGGACTTTCCGCCTATCTAAACCCGAGTAACCAATGCCAAAATAATTATCTTTCGGCTTACACCGGAATGGCTCGTAATCGTCAGGTGCAAAAGTAATATTAGTGGAATCATCATCCGAATCCTCAGAATTGCTTCCTATCAGTTTGGGATTGTCCTGTGCTAGTTTTAATTTTTCATTGCGCAGCTTTATCTTCTGTTTTTCTTTTTTTGTCAGTCTGGAACCTACACCTTGACCAGGTTTCCAGCCCATTTTCTTGAGGAGGATGATACCCACTGTTTCTCTGTAATTATAAACATTTAAAATTATCAGAAATTAATATCACTTTAAATCTAAATACAAAACACGCTAGTAAATAATTAATGCACTATTCTATTTTTTCTCAAACAAAAACATACCGTTAACAATTTCAATTTAAAACTAACAGAAATTAAATGGCATTACTAATTTTTGCAAATACTAACTTGACAGGTCTTAGAAGTTCCTTTAAGATGGGAGTACCAGGGATAGGTCCTTCCTGGCTTATCCTCTCCCTCTTTTTTCCTTTTTGTCCATGATCGGCATAATCGCTGGTGGCTCGAATACCTTTAGGAGCTATCCCAAAGAGACTAGTGTCCTCTTCATCCATAAAGTCTTCTGGTCGCTGAACAACGTTGTCTGCCTTGCTGCTCCTGGAAGACTTGAATTGTTGTGGTCTCCAGCCATCGCGAGTGCCGACGGTATTGAAGTATCCTGCTGAGAAACCGCCTGTAAAGGCTCCATGAAACCTACGTCTACCTTGGGCGTCATATGCATATTGATCCTCGATTGTGATGGGCTTCTTTCGCGGGATGTTCTCTGTGAGATCAAAACTTTTTAATATAACGCAGCAAAAAAGATATTTATAACACAATATATTTTTAAGTACTATAATTTATTCAGTTTGTATACCTTCGTCCAAAGGGTCAAGAGGAACACCAAATGTCGCGTAATTCTCCTCGTCCGAATCGCCCATTTCCAAAGAAACAAATTCCTGCGGTAAAATCTCGTTTGATTTAATCAAATGCGACAACTTTAATCAAGTGCTCTTCGATCACAAAACTGAAATTGCGCAGAGCGCATTTGAGGTTAAAAGAGACATTAGACATCATTCACGAGTATACAAAACTCAGCAGACGGTGGCAGATAGCTGAGACGGCTCCGACCTCCGACGTGAATCGACGTGGGTGTATATTCAGTGGTCTCGACGGTAAACTGCGGTAAACCGCGATCAAACGTAGCCAATCAACATTATGCTTCAATTGGAATAAAAAAAGCAAAGTTTCTTTTCTCCGATTGGCTGAATCCCACGTGATCTCCATGCACTGCTATGCCTTTCAATCTTTAATATATATAAGTCAGGTTAGGCTTATCTTGTTTACCTCATTTTTATCGATATCAATATTATCTGAAATTCTACGTTAAAAAAAGAAATTCACATTGTCATTTTCAGATTGCTCCGAAAAATGTGCTTTCGAATATATAATCCATCCTTGATCCATCAGATTTGAGAAATACTGCGGTGCAACTGGGCGCAACCGTCAGATATAGAAACTAGAAGCAGTCTCACGAAATCCGGCGAAATTCTAATCGTATCTCAAGAACATGCATGGTTTGTCGGAATTTTCTTAGCGATAGGAGCTTGAGATATTCGGTGACATGGCGATGTTTAATTCGTTTCGCTTGACACGGAGCAAATTTGCAGCGACCGGTAAGCGAATTGTTAGCGACGCTCACGAACCTAACTTCCTTCCCACGCTTTGTCCTGCTTTGTCCTACCCTTAGTCCTACCTACGAAACCTTTTTTCTAGGAATCTTTGTCTTTGTGACTTTTCGATCAACCACTCGCTCTCGATCGAATTTGATTGTCGTTAGATTCCATTCTACGCAATTCCGTGCCTTTTCGTATTGAGAGTAGGAGGGTGCGTGACATTTTGTGTAACCTAACCTACGTTCTTGCGTGAAGACGTAACCTCGCTTAAAGACGCGTTTTCGAGAGAGACTCGTGTTTGACGTTTCCTCCTCGTCAAGGGCGAAAATAAGAAATACACGTATCTGCAGATTTCTTTGATGAAAAAATCTTTCGAACAAGCGACGAACAATAAAACAGGAATTACTTGAGATCGACACAAGAAGGTATATATTTATATATATATATAAATACATATATATATAGAAAGTAATATAAATACTTTTTTTGAAGAATAGTGTTATCTGCATGTAATATTTTTATATGTTTTGGCCATCGAAAGTTTTACCAAGATGACAGAAGTATTTATCAGCCGAGTTACCGATCTTTTGGACAAATGTAAAACTGCAGAAGCTATACAGCTTTTGAAAGAGGATCACTTGATGACTGAAAATAATTTATGCGGCATCATGTCTGCCATCGTTCCGAATCTCACGAGCCCTGTGTTACAACATCACAAAGCGATGTTCGATTGCTGCTTAAATGTATTGACGTTTTTAACTGAGAATTGTGAGCCCACAATAGCCGTAATAGAGTTCCCAAGATATTTAAAGCGGGCGAGTGACCATGTAAATTTCTGTACCATCTTGGGTACAATGCAGACTTGTTTAATGCTGGTACGAAACAAGAGTAAAACCATTGATTGGTACTTTGACGCGATCAAGATGTACCTTGAGGATCTACCACTGCCAGATGAAGCCGATGATCCAGAAGCAGCTAGTGACAGAATTGTAAATACATATAAGGCAATCATAGTGTTTCTAGAACCATTGGTGCAAGAGGCGATAGATATCAATTCTAAGCAGGAGAAAGGATCTCTACTTGGAAATCATCTCTTGAATTTTTTTATTTTTCTGTGTGGGAAACCTTTTTGCTGTTTGAACAAATACATCAGTGAAGAAATAACATATAAAGAAATCGCGGATAACATAGTAACACAAGCACTTTACCTCACTGGAGATATATTATATTTTTTAGATACTGTTAGCAAACGTCAAAGAGAATCTACTCATGTTAAAACACTACGCAAATATCTAAAAACAAATATTGAATCTTCTTTTTGTTCTACAATCTTAGATTGGAGTCAAAACATATCTAATATGGCATATGCTAATTTTTATTTTTACGTAATTACCCAAGAAAATTATTGGATAAATGTACCACAAATATATAATTCTTATTATATCCTTGAAACATGTGCATACTTTTTCAAAATACTGCTTAGCGAAGATTATTCAATTTCCACTGGATTAATTTTCATGGAAAATGTTATAAAACGCATTTCACTTCGCTCCTTAGATTCTGAGATGTTGAGCCTGGAAATATATACAGAATTGTTTCAACCAATCACTACAGTGATGATTTACTCTAATAGTGATGAGCAACGGAAGAAGGCAGTACGCATTTTTCAAGATTATATTGAGATATTTAACATGGAAGCTAGATATACTATTATCTTGTATTTATATGAGAATATCGAACATTCTGGCCTATTAAGCTTTATCACTGGCATATTTAAATCTTCTATCATCGAATGTCTCGATTCTACTCCACGAAATCCCCAATTTCTCGGAAAAAATATGGAATTGTTATTGAAAAAGATTTGCAATCTATCTCATGGAAGTTCGTCTGATGTGGTGGAAATATCAGACGAAATCATTACTGCGCTGAACTTGCTGAGATTTTTGTTTATCAGGGATAAGAACAATGAGACAGGTATTTGGAATATGACAGATATGTTGAAAACTAATTATTTGAATCCGTTAAGAGAAGGTATAGACTTGTGCAGGGCACATTGGAGAGTGAAGAAAAAAGATTTGGAGCAACAGAAAAAGGATTTAGCTAAAAATCAAGATTATAGCAAGTTAATGAAGGCTCATATGGAAGTTACATTGACTATTGGTGGCGAACAATTACCAGTTATGCCGCTTCACGAAAAAATTTCTGTCTGTTATCAAGTGATAAATGGTTTAGATGTAATGGAAAGCATTCTTATACGAGTTAATGAATGTACAGATATGAATGAAAAATTGGTGGAAAAATCTGATGAATGTATTACCTGAATAGAAATAAAATCAATCATGAAAATATCATACTATCATAAAATTGTAATTGTTTAAGATTGTAAAATTGTAATTGTTTAAATTTAATAAAAAAATTTTTTAAGTAGAATGTGTACTGTATTAATATCATGTTTGTGATAAAAATTAAACTAAAATTGAATTAATTTCTACTAATGATTCTTATGTCTTATATAATATATTTAATACATATCTTATTATTATTATTAGATCATTTTAAAAGTATTGATTTTATTAGGTTTTAGACGTTTATGGACTTCTAGGGCTTTGCTGACCGATCAATTTGAAAGTGACAATAGAAAAGCGGAATCTCATCGGGAGAATGATGAGGAATATGAAAACAATATTAAGTTAAAAATACTTGGTGCCTCTTTAAAATTTGTTCCTGACGTGGGATGGAGCAAACAGGCTATTAGTGCTGGTAATTTTAAATTATTTTTTATATTCTATTCTATCTTATAATTAATATTTCTATTATCGTGATTTGTTAAGATATCGCGTTATATTTATGTACAAATAAAATAAAATAATATAATGCGGATATGATACTAAAGGTGCTGAATCAATTGGATATCCGGGTGTGATACATGGATTGTTTCCAAAAGGTAGTGCGGCTTTAGTGGAGTATTTTTACTCTATGTGTAACCGGGAATTAAATGACATCCTAGAAAAAGAAGCATTAGCTGTCAAAGCGGATTCCTCAAGTTCGCAGAAGACACCAGAACAGCAAGTTCGTGATGCTGTAGAAATACGGCTGAGAATGGTGATTCCCTACAAAAAAACCTGGCCACAAGCAATGGCTATTATGTCCCTTCCACCAAATGTACTAACTGCTTTAGCAAATTTACTAATTTTAGTCGATGATATCTGCTACTATGCCGGCGATAGATCGGTTGATGTAAGTCGTATCACTAATATTTATCTGTTAGTATAAGAAAGATATTGTTCGGATATGCTGTTTAGATAGAGTACATTACTTTGATTAGATTAACTGGTATGCCAGGAGAATGATACTAGCGACTATTTATAAAGCTACTGAATTGTACATGTTGCAAGATAAAAGTGAAGACCACAAAGAAACATGGTTGTTCCTAGAGAGACGACTAAAGGATATTTTACAAATACAAACAATGCTTTCCAGTTCAGTTAAGCCAGATGAAGCTTTAAATTGTGCTACAGAAACAGCTTCTGCTGTTTTTATAACGGTAGATTAATTCTGATTGATTATAATTAAAATTATGAGCCATTTTTAATTTTTTAATATATATATATATATAATTTTATTTTTGTTCTAGGCCCGCAATATACTTGGATTACGTTAATAGAAGAAGAAATAAATTAACATATGAGAGAAGATTTTAAGAAAATAGAGACATTTTGTAAATGTTTTCGAATAAATATAATTAAAATTTTTTTTTATTAAAATTAAACCCTTCGCATAATAGGAGAAATATTAGAAATAAGAATAAATGTTGGATATTAAATAGAGATTAAACGTAATGTACAATGGATACATATATGACATATGATATGTCGTATATTTTATTTGTATCCATTGTGTGTTACATTTATCTCTATTCATTTTTTTATTTCTAAATAAATATTTATTATTTATTCCTGTTGCTAATATTTCCTCCATTATACACAGGATATTAAGAGAGCAATTTATTTAATTTACAAATACAATGAATAATATCAAAAATATCATCTAATTTTGTGTAAAAAATTATTATTATGAAAGGGACTACTAGCAAATATAGCTAATTTATTTTACACAGTAATATATTTTAACAAAATCTGTACAATAAAATAGGTAGTAAATCTATATTATCTCCATGCAAAATATAAAGATATAAATTGTTGATTACATAAAGCTATATCAACATTCTTTTAACAATAGATTAAAAACAATTATTCGTTTACCCTGCATATTATCATAATTAAGTAATCATATAATCATCTGGAATCAGCTATATAAATATCCTGTTACTCTTTACATTCTGCTAGCATAAAATAGTAGAAAAAGTTAAATTCTTCTCCTACATACAATAATTAACTTATAGAAATTTTATTGCAAATTTCTCTTAGAATTACGTAATTTATAATAAATATGAAACATTCTCATTTAATTTAATAGAAATAATGTGTAATACTTATAAAAAACAACATTAATATTCATTTTTAAAATAATTTATAATTTTTATTTGTTTTACATTTTTTCTGTTAGATAATGATTTGAGAAAAATATTCCTGAAAATATTTTTGCAAAGTATAACACATACTGAAAATAAAATTTCTCATATGTGTGTGTATGTGTGTGTACACACATACATACTTTTGCTGCCATTTCATCTTAGCAATCTATTCTATACCACTCTTTTATTAATATATATCATGATAAAAAATAATTTTATTAATCTCAACATTCTTTATTTCTTTATCTGTTAAATTTTAATAATGCGCTTCTTGAATATATCCCTTGATAGTTTTTGGCAAAGGCAACTTGTGTATATTATCTAATCTAATATATTGGCGGATGACAAAACGACAAAGATATTGCAGACTCCTTACTTGCGTGAATCTGCTCACTGGTTTCGTTAATCTGACCGGAAATGAAGGATATCCTGGATATTTTGGCCTCGAATAACAAATTACAGCGGACTGGCTAAAGTTCATGGAGTGATTTATTAAAGCAGCTACTGAAGTAAAGCCTTCGTTCTCAGTGCTTTGATTGCACAGAGAAAATAAGCCGCCGCTGTGTTCCATTCGCGCATGCAACATCTTCCCAGATGATTTAAAGCTGAGTGTTAGGACATACCTACAGGTAATCACATAGAATTTTATTTAGCACGTATGAATATATACAATTCTGCAAAGTCAAATTATGTAAAGTCTAATGTATATGCACCTATCATCTGACGAATCCCGAACTAGAAATGCACCATCTGGCTCAGATATGAGTTTAGCATCAGCCTCATCTCCCGATATGGGACCCCAATACCATCCATATTTGCTTAGATTAAGCAATTCCTTTGCAAGACTCGCTTTAACTTTATGTTCGTTATTTAACGTTTCGTTCACACTGCCAGGAACATCTGCTATTGCATTAAGAACTGCCACCGTTGCATCAGAATAGGTAGGTTGCGTTACTGTTGCTTCGCTGACAGTTCTAATGTTGCTTATCAATTTATTCTGCTGTCTTATAGGAACTGTATGAAGATTTATGCCAGTTATACCATATTGCATTCTATTAGTTTCATTCTCTTCGATGTGGCAGGAATTTTCAAGTATGTCACCTAATCTGGTTTCATACAAAAGCCTGTCTGATGAGGCCGGTTCGTCATTTGAATGATGTTCTCGTTTTTCACAAGACTTAAAAGACTTAATGACAGATATAACATTATTCTGCTTCGTACCAGAGCAAGAGAATGATGTCTCTATCTCTTTGTTCTGAAAAAGAATGACAAGAAGGAATTATCTTAGACAAGACACAATCATCACAGAAGAAGAGTAAAGAAATCTTGTTCCAGACAATGGAAGGCATGATGAAGAAGAAGAAGAAAAGTGAGAAAAAGAAAAGAAGAAAAAAAACCTTTTACTCTACCTTTTTCTTTGACTTGCATAGATTCTTCAGTAGCAAGTGCTTCTTGACATTACATACGAAATTAAAGAACGATAGTTTGCTGTTGGACGAGCCTCTGAATCTATGCTCCGTCGACCTAATGTCGCTCGTCAGGTCTTCCCTCTTGTACTCCTGATGCCGATTACTCTCGCACCGCCGGAGAAGCGTCGCGAGTTTTCCACCCGTGTTTCCACGCCTGGATTTTCGTCGCGCGCCCGCTTGCTCCGCAGCGGTGCCCGTCGTCGACTCCGGCTCCCTGTTCTGATCTGTCATATTCGTACGTGGTAGTGTCCTCGGAGCGAATTGTTCCACCCGCCGTTCCTGTAGCCGCGGTACTCGCACACGCCATCTATTTCACGCGGCTGGTGTCCTCGCTGCTCGCCGCTCGCGTCCGAGATTACTCTGGAATTTATCTCGAAAACCAGCAACGGACACTGCCAAAAAATTCCGTCGGGCAGACACCAATGGAAGATGTCGCCCTTTTTGTCGAGGTCGATGCCGCCTAGTACTCCGAGCACCCGACAGAGCACACCACACCTCCAGCAAAGACTATCGCATGCTAGATTTATCAACGACTACGAAAGTACGAATACGTTCCCTTATTCTCTACTGCGAATACTGAAAATCTTATAGTTCATGTTACGTGTATTATAGATTTTCAATACTCGCAGTGAATAACAGAATGCAGCTAATATAATTTCTGATATAACTTCAACTAGATTTCAATTACCAGAGAGATAACGAAACGCAGCCAACATCGAACGACGTAATAGAAATAAGTTTAAAATAGAGAAAGTTAGACGTGTCCGTGATTTGGTGATCTCTACAGACTACAAATAAGGATCCTTTTTCTTTCTAATTTTAGAAAAAGAAAAAGATAGAAAAGCGTATAATGTAAATTAAAAATTATTTAAACAATTATCTTGTAAATATAGAAAACATATTATTTAAAGCAGTAACAAAATTCTTCAAATCAAAATATTAACATAACGACAATATAACTTCACCGAGTTCTGTTTAGGTATTAATAATGTATTTTGATGATATTATAATTGTTATGCTTATTTGCGAATAAACGACTTTCAGGTTCTTTTCTTACATGTACGCGACATCGGAAATTAAACTTAAACGAAATTATACCAGCATTAATTATCCATGATTTTCTCTATATTTGACGTTTATATTAATATTCTCATACCCAACGCAGTTACTCTCGAATGGGGTATACATATATGTATATGAATGTAAACGCTATATGCTGAAATAAATTTTCTTGTAAGTTCGTCAGATCAAAGACAGAAACTACATACATACTTTCTTTTTTCATACACTCTTTTCAACAGTCATTTAATCGATCATCTAATTATTTAAATTCGTTCTTAACTTCTTAAATAAGTTCTCGAAAAACGCCCGAAACCAGCTCCCAAGAAAAACTAAATTTTTTGAACGCACAGCATTTATATACCTTATTCGAAAGCTAGCGTTATCCAATGAGCGTTTGAATACAACGAGCACAGCGAAGCATCGTATTCATTGGCTGGTACGCGAATGGTGGGGTTCGCGGAGTGACGGTTCCTATAAATAACGCGTAATTCGCATCTTTGCGCTTTTGCGACTCGAGCAGGCGATAGGAGAATATCTTGTTATATTACGTTGGAAAAGTTCGCAGGTTCGCAGTCGCACCCCTGTATCTTGGAATCGATTATGATCTTTCCTGTAAAAGTAATCTCTACCAACAAATATAACTACAAAAAACGGCTTGAATTTTGAAAGCATCGTTGGAATTACTTACCAACGAGGTAATCAATAATTAATTATTAATATTTTTACATGCGACGCGAGAAATATTTTGAGAACCAAGCACTTTTAAATTCTCAAACAGTTTTAAAATGTCTCTAACGTGTTATTAAAATATTTAATGTTATTATTAATATCGCGTAATGTAGATTTTAGCAGTATTAGTAAACTGATTATTCGGCCGAGAATATTTTTCGACAATAAGTACTCGTTTGGTAAAAAAATGAAGACGCGAAAGCGCGGTTATGCCGTCGCGTCTCGCGTCACTTTTTATTACGCGTGAAGTTAACCGCGCGCGGGAAACGACGTCTCTTCCCCTCTTTTGATCGCATTCACGTTTTATTCGCGGAATGCGACGGATAGGGGATGACATGGCAGAACGGACCGGCTCTCAAACAAGTAGCAGTGCGATCAAATATGGTAATGAAACCTATATTAAACCTGTATTTAACTCTTTCGATATGTAACTACCACGTAACTATAATATAGATTCGGTATTCATATGTATACTATAATGATCCATTCAAACACGTATTTTTTGTAAAACTTGTTCGACCGAAAGTTTATCACGTGAATAATTGACAATGAGATTTTCGGATCAATCTACACAATATACAGAAAAAATAATCATTATATTATGCTCGCATTTTATGATAATTATATTACTTCTGTATTAAGTATGTAGATTGATATCTGAAAATCTCATTGTCAATCACGTGTCATTTTCTGTGTTTCAAACATTAGATATATCTGATGTTCGAAATACCTACGGAAAATCCATGAACGCTACTCAAATAGAACAACAAATCATTATGATATCAAAATAATGTTAAAATGACTTCAAAATGATCATTAAAAATCATTTTTCAATAATTTCCGATTCATTTTAATATCATTTTGACGTTATCGTGATTTGTTGTTCTGCTTAGGTAACCAGTGGTTTCATGTTATAGTAAA